TATAAAAATCACATATTGATCATATGGTGCTACGGCGCATGTGATTTTACAATTGTGGTTCATGCCGCTTGAGCATGCGCGCGTGGGTTTGCAATCGTCGCGCGATGCCTCCGCGCGCGCAATCTACCCCCCCCCCCCCCCTTCGCCGCCATCGCCGCCGCGGCCGCGCCGCCTCGCCTGGCCCGCGAACCCCCCCACCCCCCCGCGCGCCACCGCCGCCGCTGCCGCGCGCGGGCGGGCGGGCGGGCGCGGCGCCGAGGTACTTGGGGCGCGCGGAAGGGGGGGTGGGGGGAGAGAGAGGGAGAGAGAAAACGAGAGAGGGGGGCGCGGGGGGGGTGGGAAGGGAGGAGGGGCGCACGGGCGCGAGAAGGGCCAGGGGGGGGGGCGCGAGCGGGCGGCGGCGGAGAGGGGGCACGCGAAAAGGAGCGGGCGCAAGGCGCTGAGCCAGAGCGCTGGGAGATGTGGAAGGGGCGAAGGCGGCGGCGCGAGGTGAGAGGAAGGAGGGGGGTGGTGGGGGGTTGGTGGACGGGGGGGGGGTGGGGGGGGGCGGGGGGTGGGGGGAGGGGCGCGCGCGGGGAACGGGCGAGGGGGGCGGTGGGGGGGGGCGAAGCGAGGGTGGAGGCGCGGAGGAGGGGAGAGGGGGGAGTTGGAGGTGATGGTGTTGGGGCGTGCGTGTATGTCTGAATGTCTGTCTGTATGTCTGTATGTGCGCGCGCGGGCGCGCGCGCGCGTGCGCGCGTGCGTGCGTGCGTGTGCGCGTGCGCGTGCGCCTGCATGCATGCTTGTGCGCGCGTTGTGCGCGCGTGCGCGCGCGCGTGGTGCGCGCGTCCGCGCGCCGCCCAGGCGTTCAGCGCTGGCGCCCCTCACGCCGCCTCTCTTCCCCTCTCCCCGCCCCCGCGCGCGCGCCCGCGCGCCGCCGCTGCCACCGCGGCCGCCGCCGCCGCTGTCTCGACCGCAGCCGCCGCCGCAGCCGCCACCGACGCCGCCCTTGCTCGACCACCCCCCGCCAATCCGTTCACCGCGTTCACCCGCCCGCTCCCCCTCCCCCCCCCCAAACCCACGCCGCGCCGACTGCGCGGCCCAAGCTTGAGTTGGCATCGTGGGGCACCCATCCTCGGCACCCCTTGCGCCCGCACCCCGTTCGCCCCCCGCGCCCGCCCGCCCGCCCGCGCGCGCCGAAACGCGCGCGCGCACTTAGGATGCCCAGCGCATCTTCCCGCAGCACCCCCCCCCCCCCCCTCCCCCAGCGCGCGCGCCCGCCCTCCCCCGCCGCCCCACCGCCATCCGCGCGCCCGCGGGCCCTCCTAAGGGCCTCGGGTCTCTCGGCTGGTCACTAGGGGTCTCGCAAGGGTCTCTGGGCCTCGGGAAGGTGGACGGGGAAGGGGGGGGGGGGGGGGCAAGTCTCTCGGATGGTCACGGTATCTGAGGTAAGGTCTCGTAAGGGTTTCTCAAGGGTCTCGGGTCATAGTTGGTCTAGTGGGGCCCGTAGGGGTCTCTGTGTCTATTAGGTGCCTCGGGTCCCTCAGAGGGTCTCTTAGAAGGTATCTTCATACATGTGGCTTTAAAAGTAGTGTAAGGGTATCTCGGGTACCAGGGTTGATCTCTTAAAAAAGGTTTCGTAAGGGTCTAGGCTGGCCACCCTGGTCGTCCTCAATCTGTTATGCTATGCCAGGGTGTCCAACGTTTAGTGCGGTAGCCTAGCGGTCGCAGCGGGTTCGGCCTGGGGCCCCACTGGCCGCCCTCGTCTCTGCTGCGCATGGTCGGCGCCCCCCTGTTGCACGGCCGCGGTGCGCTGGATGCAATCCACGCCCTGCAGCGGCAATTGCACAGGGGGGCAACCTTTTCCGCGGGGTGGGCGGGGCACGGGGGTGTCTAGTGCTTGTTGTCTTGATTGGCAGTGCTGGTGGCGCGCGGCCAGCCATGGAGCTCGGGCCGAGGGGCCCCGCCAAGCAGGCGGCGCTGGACTTGGGCCAGCCAGTTCACATCGACCGTCGCCCCGTCCCCTCATGTGGCAGCAGCAGGCGCAATTTGTTTCCCTGGGCCTAAACCAGCGATGCCGATTGTTGTCGCTCGCACGCCTTGCTGTTCACTTGCGGTGGGCTGACGATCGCAGCGGGCTCGACCTGGGGCCCATGCGGCCGTCCTTGCCGTTGCTGCGCGTTGTCGGCGCCCCACTATTGCACGGCCGTGGAGCGCTGGAGGTAACGCTCCTTCTGCGGCGACAGTTGCACAAGGCGCCGCCCTTTTCGCGGGTGGGCTGGGCGCGGGGGTGGGCTTGGTTTAGCCAGTCCACCTCGACCGTCGCCCCGCCCCCCTTCACTGGCCGCGGTTGTCGGACGCTCGCAGCGGGTTCGGCCTGGGGCCCCAGTGGCCGTCCTTGTCATTGCTGCGCGTTGTCGGCGCCTCCCTGTTGCACGGCCGTGGGGCGCTGGGGGCAGTGCTCCCTCTGCGGCGACTGTTGCACAGGGGGGGGGCGCCCCCCGCGGTGCATGGGCACGGGGGCGGGCTTGGTTGGTTCGTTCACCGCGGCCGCTTTTCAGCCCACACCCCCTCTCCTCTGCCCTTGGGGCGGCGGGGTGGCTCGGTTTTGCTCTGGTCTCGGAATTCGGCCTCGGGGCCGTTCTCGCCCGTGCTGGCGGGCCCGCTGCAAGGCGCTCGCCCGCTGCCGCCAGTCCTCGCCGCCGCTGCTTCGGACTGCACAGTGCCGACTGTCGACTGGATCGCGCTCTCCCCCCCTTCCCCGCACTTTCGCGCACCTCCAAAGAAAAGCTTGGCCCCATGGCCCCCTTTATGCCCCCTGCGAGCAGCATGAGCCGCACGGGCCATGTACGCCCTATGAGCCATATGACCCCTGCGAGCCTTACGACCCCGATGAGCCCTATGGGCCCTATGGGCCCCATGAGCCCTATGAGCCCTAAACGCCCTATGAGCCCGATGAGTCCCATGAGCCCTGCGAGCCTCGTGGCCCTTACGGGCCCTGTAAGACCCATGAGCCCTCTCTGCCCTATGGCCCATGAGCCCTCTCGGCCCTATGACCATGTGAGCCCTATTGATCATATGGGCCATATGAGCACTATAAGCCCTATGTGCACCATGGGCCCTATGAGCTTCCTGTGCCCTTGAGCCCTATGAGCGCTATGGGCCCGATGGGCCCTATGAGCCATGCGAGCCCGATGAGCCCTATGATCCCGACGAGCCGTATGAGCACGATGAGCCCTGCGAGCCATATGGGCCCCATGAGCCCTATGATCCATATGAATCCTATGGCCTCATGATGTCTATGAACCCTGCGAGCCCTACGGGCCGTATGACACCTACGAGCCCTGTGGGTCATATGAGCCCTCTTGACCCTGACCCTATGAGCCCATGGGCCATATAAACCCTATGGGATCTATGAGCCCTAAAGTCCTGTGAGCCCTATTGGCCCTATGAGCCCTTTGGGCCCTATGGGCTCTATGGGCCCTATGAGCCATATGAGCCATATGAGCCCACGGAGCCCTATGAGCCTGATGGGCCCTTATGAGCCCTATGAGCCATTTGAGCCATACGAGCCCCATGAGTTCTATGAGCCCTACGAGCCCTATGTGCCCCATGAGTCCTATGAGCCGTATAAGCTCGATGCGCCCTGTGATACCGATGAGCCCTATGAGCCCTGCGAGCCCTACCAGCCCTATGAGCCCTGAATGCCATATGAGCCCTATGGGCCCTATTAGGCCTATGAGCACAATGGGCCCTATGAGCCCACTCGGCCCTATGAGCCCCATGAGCCCTATGAGCTGTCAGAGCCCTCTGAGCCCTCTGAGCCCTTTTGAGCCCTATGAGCCCTCAGCGCGAAGCGCAGCGGGCGTCAAGTCTCGTATTCGAAGCATACCGAAGCATAGTATAGCTTCCCCGAACCAAACTGGACCCCCTGAAGACTAATTTGCTGCTAGAAACAAGGTCTGCATTCTGAACGATCTGAAGGTGACATAATGTTGCATGTTCGGCGTGACCCTTGTGGCAGGTTTTCTTTTACTTCTGGTATGGGCCAAGCGGCCAAGATTGTAGTTTCGCCCGTTTCTTCCGTTCCCCCTCGCGCTGCAAGTGTTTACATTTGGTGATGCCCCTGTCTTCTTCTCGGACGGGCAGGCACTGCTCGCGCGCCCCATTGGGACTACTATGTCCTACCTGGAGGCTCCAGGTCGCGGGCTCGCGAGGCAGCTTCACGGACAAAGGAGTTATTGATCGTTGTTGGCTGGCGGTCGGATAAGAGAAGGCGTGCCCATATTGCGTCTGCTGTTGGGCACGGCCCGACGCCAGCGACAGACGCTGCGATTCTCGTTGCCTTTGACACATCACGGGGGGGGGGAGGCATGTCGTCAACCGGATGAAAGGGCGCCCTGTCTGGCGGGTGGGGTCGGGTAAACTGGGTTCCAAAGGGCCTTCGGGGGGTGGGCGAGTGGCCGCGGGGACGCATACGGCATAGGCCACCCAGGTAAGCAAGGACCCATAATACATACAGGGTGGAATAGGTTGTCTGCTTGGAGCGGGGCCCCCTCCCCCCCATAATTATCCGTCTCAGTGCAGTAGCAATACTGAAACATGACACGCGAGGTCAACTCTTAGGAAGGATACGTGCGAGCACGCTGTTTGCAACCGAGAACTTCTGATCGAATCCGCCCCGCCCTCCCCCACCCCCGATGCTTCTTGAGAGAGGCGTGCGTTTGGGGTCCTGTGTGTAACGTGTGTGTTCCCAGATCAGTGCTGATCACGTGTGGCTTGCCCGCGTAAGGTCCCCCTCTGGCGCCGACCATGGCGCACGCGTGAAGGGCGTTTCGCCCGTTCTGCGGCTGCTTCGCCAAACGCGCATCTGTTGCTCCAACTGTCGTGTCCCTTTGCCTCTTGGCCCCCTCGCCTTCCCCTTCCCGTCAACTCCTCTCCCTGCTGTGCCGTTTGCTGTCGCACCTTTGCTCGCATAGCTTTTTCAGGATCAGAGTTGGCCGACTCACGCCCGCGGGGAGATCACAGCACTCACAGGGCTCCCGCCTCACAAAGATACACTATACTATACCAGAGTTCGCGCCAGCCGTGGGATGGTCAAGCAGTGCTCGAAGCTCACCGAAGCTGCCCTGAGCGCCCACGACTGCTCCGAGCGCCCTCGACGGGCCTCAGCGGCCGCCGCGGCCACCGACGCACGCGACCTCAAGAGACGCAAGTTGGTGGCCGCGCCGTGCTACATGTGCAAGGCTCAGCCGAAGCACGGCCACTGGGCGGAGAGGGACAAGAAGGGCCACCCGATCGGCAACAAGTGCGGGGACTGTTGGAGCACCTACTCGCAGGGAGGTTTCGTAGAAGATGGCACGTTCGAGGAGGTGGCAGACAAGTGCAGGGACGACGAGGCCTACAACAAGGAGTTCAACGCGGCGAACGCCGCGAGGCTGGACCCTTCGGCGAAGGGTTGGGATGAGGAGTACGAAGTGGACGACTGCGACGAGTTCAAGGTCGTCGTCGAGCAGTGTTGGCTCGGCGTTCCACGCGCCAGTTTCAAGGCAGCGACTGGCAAGAACCCCGACGACTGCAGCATCCGCATGCAGAACTTGCCTGGCACCACGGTCGGCAACGAGTACAAAGGCTTCCTGTGCAAGGATGCGGCCAACCCGTACATCAGGTACCGCGTCCAGCGGAGCTTCGCGATCAGGCGCAGCAAACTCGTCGAGAAGAGGGGCACGCACCTGCGCCGCAATCAGGCCGACCTCACGCTTGCTAAACAGGCTCGGGGGTCAACCAGCACAAAATGAATACGGGATGGAGGGGAGGGGGTTAGGGCAAATGCTGAGGAGCGGAGCGGGGGAGGGCGGAGGATCCAAGGTGAGGATGAGCGGGGAAGTGACGAGGAAGAGCATGAGGAGGACGAGGCGGAGGATGAGGAGACGTCCCAAGCGTCCTGAGATCATTGTAGAGCGAGGTCCTTGGTCCTAGGTGTGGTCTCTGTGATTTCTTTCGTTTGTTTGCTCGTGCGTTCTATCTCTCTTGCCCTCCCTCTCTCACTGAACCAGGTGATCCCAGGGCCAGAATTCAGAGTTCAGAGGTCCACTGGCGAGTCGCCTTGAAAAAAAAACACATGTGTTTTTTTGGCAGCCCCTTGAAAACAAAACACATGTGTTTTTTTGGCGGCACCCTATGTGCCCTCCCGCATCCGATTGCCCGAAAGGCCAAGAAGCTGAAGGCGAATCTCCTCTCCAAGCTGCGCAACGTGAAGTTCGACCTCGGCCACTTCGAGAACCTGGCCCACGGCAGTGTCCCCGAGGACCTCGAGGGCGAGGGCGCGGCCGAGGCGGACGATGATGCGGACGACGAGGCAGCGGACGGGAGCCAGTCTTCGGAGCCCGCCGAGGTGGAGTCCGTTGGTGCGCACCCGGAGGCGGGCCCCAGCCGCGGCCCCGCCACCTCAGGCGCCAGTGCGATCGCGGCGCTGGCGGCATCTCGCAGGCCAGAGCGTGCCATGTCCGTCACGCCCTCCAAGACGCTCGAGGCAGGCCCAACGCCCTCGCTGCTCTCCGCCAGTCCGATCGACGTCACCAGCAAGGATCAGTGGGCCAAGAAGGTCAACAAGTACCAGGAGAAGCTCAACGTGTCAGCCATCATGGAGGGTGGCCCGTACAAGACCGACCTGCGCTGGGCGAAGGACTTACTGCACAAATTTCCAGATCGAACGACTCCGCAGTACAAGAACCTCAAGGCCCACGTCGATAAGGTTGAGGCGGCAGTCGACTTGACAGTGGATGCCATTCAGAAGACGGCAGATGCAGAGGCTCTCAAGGCGAGGATCGCGACCATTGGCAGCGACTTCGAGTACCCGACCTCCATCAAGATCGCACTCCTCAAGAACACCATGTCTCGCCTGACGGCTGACAAGCACGTGAGCAAGCAGCGTATCAGCCAAACGCTCGAGCACATCTTGCCGCTCGTCCTCAAAGCCGATTGCGAGGGTGGATCCACGGAGGGCCAACATGACGACGCTGAGCATGACTTCCAGCCGACGTCTCCGCAATTGGCGCTGATCGAGGGATCACCTGAGGAGTTGGCCACCTTGTTCACGCAGTACTTTGGACAATACGTTTTGCCTGCCTTGGTGGCTTCGTGTTCGGCATCTGAGCGCCTGTTCGGCGACGCGTCGCAGGCGATCTTGGAGAAGCTCGACGCCTTCGGCCTGGACATCCCCGACGCCACCATCGAGGCGTTCCAGGATGCCATCGGCATCGTGAATGTGTTGCAGTGCTTACTGGACCCTACTGATACCATTCACATACAGGAGGTCGCCAACATCAAGACGGCTGTCAAGAACAAGACTCTCACTGGGCTCCAGGAATCCCTGGTCTCCATCATCCAGGAGTCGGCTAAGCTGAAACAGTCCTGGGATGACATCACGGTGAAGGGTGGTTCGCTCGGGGTCCAGCCGAAAATCAATGAAGCCAACTCCGATATCCAGAAGGGTTGTGGCGACGACGTCGTGGCGGACATCGTCAAGAACTTGCCGTCTTGGGAGCTGGGGTGCCGCAGCGGAGGTGTCGTGCCGTTGCGCGGCGCGCTCCAGACCCGCATCGCAGCCATGATCACCGACATCGATGCGCTTTGTATCGAGCAGTCGTTGACGACAGAGGGCATCGTTTCCGAGGTGAAGGTCAAGCTCGGTATCTTGACTGAGTGCGTTGGTGTATTCCCGAACCTCGCTGTTTCCATCAAGGCCGCCATCTCCAATGCTCAGCGTGCGCTGGGCTGTGCTTCTGATTTGTCGTTTGGGACCGCATTCGTTACAGAGATGGAGCAGCTCTCGAAGACTACGGACTTCGACACCCTGGACCTTTCCAAGTACTCCCAGAAATGCCAGGACTACATGGCGGTGTCTGGCAAGTTCGCCGACGTCCCCAGAGGTGTTGAGGTATTGGGCGGGCTGGCAATCTCGCTTCTCGGGTACGTGGCCAAGAACGTGAAGAACGTGGGGAACGATGGCGTGAGGTCTGCCGCAGACTTGCTCGAGAAGATTTCGGCCGTGCTGGGCAAGCTCGCCTGCGACGACGTGTTGGTGGCGAAGGGCGTCGTGAGCAAGCTACTGGCGCTGCTGAACTCGTACGAGGGGTGGGCGAGGTTGGCCAAGGACGCGGCCTGCAGGGTGGAGCTGGACGCTGACCTCGTCAAGTCGCTGGCGTTCGTCAGCGCCCTCACCGCCTGGCAGGCAGCAAGCGTCGAGAGCGTGACGTACTTCCCGCTCGAGGGCATCACCCCCGTCGTGACTGCCTACGTGGAGGAGGCACAATCGCTTCGCAACGCAGTGGCTACCAGTTTGTTGGCAGGGCTCGCGAACCAGTTCGACAACTGCGACATCCAGAAGCTCTGCGGCGGCACAGACAACGGTTCCAAGTGGCACGATGGGCTTGACAAGGACTCGGATTGGACAGCGATCAAAGAGCGAGCTACGACCACGATCCTGCGCGCGAGCTTCGACGTGAAGAAGTTTAACGCCAACCTCGCCACTTGCGAGGCCATGCACCGCACGACTACGGAGCAATTCGAGATGTTCTCGATCACTGACAATACGGAGGTGATGGCAGAATTGAAGGGCTACTTGGAGGACGGCAGGGCGACCGTGACGGAGGGCATGGTCATGTACTACGCGACGTGCGACATGCAGGCGTCCGAGAAGAAGAGGAACCTCAATAGGGAGAGGAAGGCGCTCGAGAAGCTGTCCGAGGGTGTCCAGGGCCGTGTGTTTGAGCCCCTCAAGACCTACCTGTACAACGAGTCCTCCCTCCTGGGCATCAAGAAGCAGCCCGCCAAGGGGGGTGTGCCAGCAGTGTGAGCCTGACAGCTTGCGAGTGGACTCGTCGGCTGGCGCTGGCGACTGGGGGAGGAGATGAAGGGGGATACGAGGGTTAGGACGGGGACGAGAAAGAGAGGTGCGACGGAGAATGATCAGGACTCACACGCTCTGACTGTTTGTTTGGGGCGAGCTCGCCACGAGCTCGGAAGCAACGCCTGTGCGAGAGCGGTCGGCCGTTCGAACATTGCTGATGTTTCGCGTACCTCTGCCAGCCCATCTAGAAACGATACCCTGGTGAGTTGAGGTGGTCAGGGAAGTGAGGAGGCATGCAGACGAATACAGGGCGAGGGATGCAGTCGTATACCTCAAGAGGGGGAGGATGGAGGAGGACCCGCCGTCGGAGGAGGACGAGGAGGAAGAGGGGGAGGATAATGAGGAGGAGGAGGAGGATGAGGAGTAGGGCGATGACGAAGAGGACGAGAAGGATGAGAAGGATAATGAGGTAGTGATGGGTACCTCGGGGGTCCTCTTGAGGCCTCGTACTGGGTCTTCTGGGGTCTTCTCGGGGGCCTCCTGGGGCCGCCTGGGCGCCTCTCATTGCCCTATCGGGGCGCCCCTGGGAGCTCCAGGGGCGCTCGCGGGTCCATTTTGGAGGACGTCGATCAAACGCGAGGGGGTGCTTTACGTAGCGCCACGCGCTCGGGAGCCCCCAACATCGCACTGTAGCGCCTGCATAGGGCACTCTTGGAGCGCTCTTGGGCGCACGTGGGGCCGTCGCGGGGCTCTCTTGGGCCCCTCCAAGGGCCTTCTTGGACCATGTTGGGACCATTGTTGGGACGTCGGGTGGTCATCGGAAGCGAAACGGTGAGACATCAACAACTGAGCTTCCGTAGGTGGTTGAAGGATGTTGGCGTCGTGGGGGCCTCCTTGGAGGTCTTGGGGGCGCAGTGGGGCCGCCTTGAAGCGTTCTGGGAATCTCCTGGGGCATATTGGGGGGCCGACTTGAGGCAGCATGGGCTATCGCGGGCCATCTTGGAGGTCATCGCTGGCTCTCTGAAGCCATCCTGGGGCCATGTTGTGCAAAGCCGTGTCCCCTGACGCCTCGCGGTGCGCCCCGTCCAGGTCCAGAGGAGGGGCGGCGGGTGAGGGGCAAGCCCCTCCCCGAAGGGGAATACAAGGGGTTGGAAGGGCAAGCTCCCTAGACCACCTACGCCCAGAAGGCTGGTGGGGCTACCCTGGCGAAAGACCCGACCATATGCAGTTGTAGGCAACGCGTTGTCAATGCCACGTTCGGTGGACCACGCGCCGCGTGATGGGGCGTGCCGTATTGAATGGGCGGGGTACGCGCACGGGCGGTTCCCTTTGGGGCGTTCGGTGGAGCTCCATGTGGGGCCACGAACGTTGTAGTGGATGGTGGGCGGTGCCACTGGGGCCTTCGCTGGAGCTCCCAATGGTGCTGCCAAACGCTGTGCTGCGTGTGGCGGGCGCATGCGGGCGGCCTCACTGGGACAGTCGTTGGAGATCCCCATGCTGCCACGACGCGCTGTACTGGGTGTGGCGGGCGCGTGCGAACGGCCCCACTGGGGCCTTCGGCGGGGCTCCATGTGGGAGCACGAAACGCTGTGCTTGGAGTTGCGGACGCATGCGGGCGGTCTCATTGGGACGGTCGGTGGAACTTCCGATGGGGACACGGAGCGCTGTACTGGGTGTGGCGGGCGCGTGCGGGTTGTTCCACTGGGGCCTTCGGCAAGGCCCCCTATGCGGCCACGGCGCGCTGCGCTGGGTGTGCGGGCGCGCGCAGGTTGTCCCACTGTGGCTTTCGGTGTGGCTTCCTATGGGGCCACGAAGCGGTGTGCTGGGTGTGGCGGGCGCATGCGGGCGCCCCTCCTGTGGCCTTAGATGGAACCCCCTATGGGGCAGCACATCGCTGTGCTGGGCGTGGCGGACGCACGCGGGCGGTCCCAATGTGACATTCGGTTGGCCCCCCCCAGGGGGGCACGACGCGCCATGCTGGGTGTGGCGGGAGCGCGCGGGCCGTCCCACTGGGACCTTCGGTGGAGCTCCCTACGGGGCCACGAAGCGCTGCATTGGGCGTGGCGGACGCATGCGGGCAATGCCATTGGGACCTTCGGTGGGGATCCATATGGGGCCACGACGCGCTGTGCTGGGGGTGGCGAGCGCACGCGGGCGGTCACAATACGGCATTCAATTGGGCCCCCTATGCGGCCACGAAACGTTGTGCCGCGTGGCGGACGCGTGCGGGCAGCTCCGCTTGGACCTTCGGTGGGGCTCCTTATGGTGCCACCAATCGCTGTGTTGGGTCCAGCGGGCGCATGCGGGCGGTCCCACTGGGACCTTCGTTGGGGATCCCTTTTGGGCCACGGGGCGCTGTGCTGGGTGTGGCGGGCGCACGCGTGCGGTCCCATTCGGGCTTTCGGTGGGGACCCATCTGGTGCCACGAAGCGCTGCACTGGGCGTGGCGGACGCATGCGGGCGGCCCCACTGGGACTGTCGGTGAAGGTAGCTATGAGGCCGCGGAACGCTGTGCTGGGCGTGGCGGGCGCATGCGGGCAATCTCATTGGGACCTTCGGTGGGGCCCCCCATGGGGCCACGAAGCGTGTCAGGGGTGTGCCGAACGAGGAGGGAGGCCGACATGGGTGGCGTTGGCGGTGGCGAGAATGATAGTGTGACGATCGTGATGATGGGAGGAAGGAGGAGGGGGCGGAAAAACGCGGAGTGAGACGCGGGGCACTGTCCCATCAACACGAGGACCCAACACTACACGATGGTCGGGGACACAACGGAATCCAGAACCACCTGCCGTCTCCATCCTCTCCCTCCCTCTTCCCCTACTCCTGCTTACCCTTCCCCCCACTTCCCCTTGCCCTCGCTTTTGCGCGTGCCCTCCCCTCGCCTTCCCTCCGCCCTCTCCCTCGCTCCCTCCACCTTCCTCTCTCGGCGGCCCCCTCCCCCCCTCTCCCCGCCCTCCCCCGCCCCCTCCCTCGACTCTCGCCCTCCCTCCCCTCGCCCACCACCGCCCGCCCTGCCACGCACCTCGGGCTCGTCCACGACTCCAGGGGCGTGCTGGAGATCGCAAGCGACACCGAGGATGGCGTCGGGGGGGGGGGACGAGGACTGCTTTTGAAGAAGACCTCCTCCTTTTCAGCCTCCTTTTTCTCTTCCTCCTTCTCCCCCTTCCCCCTCATCCACCTCCTCCTCACCCAAGCCATGCGTGGCTCGAATGTGTTTCTCGAGGTGGCGCAGGGCTACGCCAGCTCGAGGGTCGCAGAAACCTGCCAAGACCACACACCACTCCAACACCCACGCACCACCCGCCCACCGCCCACCCACCACGCACACACTCGCCCACCACCCGCCCACCGCCCACCCACCACCCACCCACCCCTCACCCACCGCCCACCCACCACGCCCACCAGTCCAGCACCCACGCACCAAACCCAAGCACCACCCACCACCCACCTACCACCGCCCCACCGCCCACCCACCACCCACCTACCACCCACCCAACGCTCCAGCACCCACGCATCACACCTGACACCCGCCCACAACCTACCCACCACCCGCCCACCACCCACCCGCCACCCACCCCACGCACAAGCACAGGGGGCGCACCCTGGGCCCCACGGCGTTTCACGTAGGGTCGTTGTCCCGTCACAGCGAGGCCCAGCTGTGTTTGCCTTCACGTGGTTGGTTACCCACCCTTGCTGCTCGGTTTGGCATTGGCTCGAGCCTTAGCCTGGCTGCTTGGCTGCGTATTTCGCCGCGCTTCTGGCGTTCGTGGAAGCGCGCGTCGCTGAGGAGGGCCGTTGTTTCCACCGATCCGTTCGGGCCCTGCGGTTTCTTGCGCGCAGTGTCGTTTGATGCTCCACGCGTCTGCTCGGACCTCTTGTGTTTCCCTGATTCGGTTTTGGCACTTCTCGGTTTGCTCGCAGGTGTGTTGGGGCCGCGTGATGGCTTGTGCCCAACAGATGTGGCGGACTAGCGCTACGGCGCAACGATGGTGCGTCCACGTTGGGACGTGCGCTGCACATGGCGCCTCCGTAGTCAAACATATCTAGTGATGTTTTTTCTGTTCGCTGTGGGGCATCCGTGATGGCCGTGTGTGATTTCTTGGAAAATCCTATGTTTTTTTTGTGATTGGTTTTCGTGTTTTTTTCATGATTGATCAATGTTTTGGCGATTTCTCTCCCTGGGGCAGTTCACAGGCCCAAACGAAACACAAACACAGTGACGACGTCGCACTTACACACCGATCCCCACACTGGTCAGCGCTCTCCGCCCCCGCCACCCCCCTGCCGCCCCTGCGCGCCCCGCCCCCCCTGCTCTTCCCGCCGGCGCTCCGGAGGGGGGAGGCGCCGCCCCATGTCGGGGCCGGCCCTCCCTCCACTCCATCCACTCCGCCCTCGCGGAGCGCCGGAGGAAAGGGTGGAGGGGGGGGGGAGGGGGGGGGGGCGCAGGCGGCGCCAGCACCGCGCGCGCACGCACACACAGACACACACGCACACCCACGCGCACACAAGCACACGCACACAAGCACACACGCACACACACACGCACACGCACCCGAACACACACAAACACACACGCACACACGCAAGCAAGCACATGCGCATTCACGCATACGTAAACACGCACACACACATATATCTATATATATATATATGCACATACACGCAAACATAAACACACCCGCACACACACACACACAGACGCGCACAAACACACAAACACACATACACACACGCACAAACACACGCACACACATACACGCACACACATGCACACAAACGCACACATACACACGCACACCCACGCACGCACACACACACACACACGCAAACACACACACACACACACACGCACACGCACCCGAACACACACACACACACACACACACACACACACACAGGCAGATGCGCATACACGCACGCGTAAACAAGCACAGACACAAATGCACATACACGCAAACATAAACACACCTGCACACACACAGACGCGCAAAACCACACACACACAC